AAATCAATAAAATTTTTTAAAATTACAAACAATTATAAGTACAACTATTTTTGTTCGTTTAATCAATCCTGCGTTATACGTTCAACTCAATTACAAAAACTTGTAATATCACGTATACTATTATACATTACAACTAAGTAATAATTGTAGAGTACATGTCATCAGTTTTAATATGCTTCGTAAGAGAACTTTATAATGTTCATATGTCATTTCTTGTATCCACGCATAATATATAAAACTTCTTCATTATTAACGTAACTACAAAAGATCATTTTTCACTCATAAGTACAAGATATTCTGCAAGAAGTTTCTTTTGCATATGTACTCTTTTATTCGTGTGCCCTAAAATCTTACAAATAGTGAAATTATAATTTATTAGAGTCCTTATATTGTTGTCTTTCGTTTCTATGCTAAAATAATCTCATCATTAAGTACCCCGGGGTTCAACGTTGAGAAAAATACTGTATAAAAACGAAAACAGATCATAGCACCTATACAACTTTTGGCATGAATATACCGAATACTGTCTGTGTACGCATCAGAAAATGTCTTCGCGTTTGCTCGAACATTGCCGTGTTGTTATTTAACGTAAATTTCATTCTAGATTTAAGATTACATTATTGTTTCCATTACATCGTAAACTACGAATAGAACGTTAATACGGACGTATGGTTTCCACGTATTAATAGCGTTGGTGGCATATCTTTGGTTAATGCTTCCAACCACGCCATATAGAGTGGAGCAGAAACTGCACCTTTCCGTGGCATTGGCAATGACCTATTATCAAAAGCATCATTATTTATTAATACAAACATGAATTTAACGATTATTCGCTACCATGGACGTAAGGGAAGATTTTGAAGTGAGATGGTTTAAATTGCAAAGTTTCGTGTTTTTCAATAAGGAATTCAGCCATTCAACCCAATTTTGAATATCTGTATATCTGAACTTCGTGTTTTAAGAAAAGTTATAATTTAAATTTTTGCATTTTCTGTAGTGCGTTATAGAAGAAATTTCGAAATATCAATCAGATCAATTTTGTTGAACATTTTACAATAATTTCTCCGTTTTGCATAAACAATTAATGTGAAAAAATTAAATAAGTAAATAATAGGTAATTAAATCATTTAGTTAAGAAAAATTATACAACATCCAACCGACACTAATTTGATATTGAAAGACAGTCGCTTTCGACTGATATAACTTGTTAATTTCTGTTCAAACAATTGTTTAACAATATCAATACGAGTATTCTTGCCCAAGCTATGACACTTCACTGTTAGCGAATGCGTTAAATATAAACGTCTAAAAGTTGCTATTTTTATTGAAAATGATACTAACATTACAACCAACGTCGATTGACTGGAGTTTTCCAGTAACAACTCCCGAAGTCTTAATTGCCTATGCGTCTTATCTTTCAGGGACTGCAGCTCAAGTTCTGTGACGCAGCATTCTGCAATGAAATTATGATATATAAATTACTTAGTCTAAAATTATTTTTGTACCTTACATTAAATTAAATTGAATTCGTCACATTTCTTAACGATGCAGCAATTCGAGTAAATTCAATTCAATTTACTGTTATGATGAAATGTGATTATTTATTAGGAAGAAACATATTTTTTCATAACACATTCTTCTGCTGAACAGGGTGTTTACAAATATTATTAACACTACGTAGAACTATCGAGCCGTAAATGCAATTAATGTACATATTGTTTTATAACATAAATTATTATTTAAATTTTGTACGATTTCTATGATAATGTATTTTAATATTAAGAATTGTAAAATAAAAGATCAGGGGCCAGTCACTTTGAGTTTTGGTAATGTTAAAGATATTTGATACAGGGAGGAACATTGTGTGATAAAAACATTATAGCTTCTTGTATGTGCTGTTGTAGAGGAGATATCAATGACAACTTAACGTTTTAAATGGTTTATAGATACAGATTTTATTGCAGTCTAATTATAATATTAGAAGTGTAATATTTTAATCGAAGTCGATGATCAAAGTTGTTAGTAAATACGATTCAGAAAGCTAAAATAAAATTGCACTGAAAATAAAAATATATTTCTGGATTACCTGTGTCTGCAGGATCATTCTTTCGGAAATCAGATATGAGTTTGTCGAAGAAATCCTGTGTTTCTTGCTTCGGTTGTACACTGATATCGTCCACCATTTTGAGGCTCGTATACCTTATCCTGAATTTTGCCATAATTTCTGCCATTCTAAGAACGTAAGAATAAATGGTAATTTAAACAATAATGGAAAACTTTGTTACTGGGATTTATAACAGATTATAAACAGTTTATTGTTTTTCTGTATAATTATGCAATTAAATCCTGCGATTTATTATACAATATTTTACTTGTTTTTGTCAAAATGTCAAAGTATTTTCTAGTTTGAAGCAACAAATGATACGAGAAGCAAAAAATTTTTGTCATGGTTATATTTTTTGCGATTTTGAGATCATCGAGGTCTAAATTTGTTGTATACAAGGTCACGCGAAGGTCACGGTATTATAAGTCATTAGATAGGTTTTCATCATACTGTTCCAATTAAAAAAAAAACATCGATGAGATTAAAATGACGAAAAGTATGAGAAACTTGAGAAATGTTTTCTATTTGTCATAATTAAACTGCAGATTTTATTCATTTATGTCAAAAATGAGTGGTCAAATTTAAAACAGTAGACAGATTAAGAGAATTTCAAAATATCTCTATATTATTTTCAACTTACTAAAATTGTTGAAGAAAGAAAACAATTTTTATGTAGCTACTGTTGCAATTCACGAAGAAAATTTTAATTTTACATAATTATCCGCAGTATAATGATAACATTTTCCCCTTTAAAGCACACAATATTTTCTTTTAATATTTTTTCATATTATCAGAAACGAGTAAAATTATTTAAAGTGGCGAAGTTACCTCGTTCACCCAGTATATAAATAGGAGTGATAATGAAGGTATAATATGTAAACTTACTCTTTCTCTTGCGCGCCAATGTCTTGTTTGTGGTTCGCTAGTGCGAAAATTCTCATTTTACAATGTTCCCAATTTGAACGTGTGCTGATAATATACGGCAACAGAATCGTGAGACCTGTTGAATAAGAACTTCTGCCACTTACAAATGAGCCTATATTCTTCCATAACTGAATTGCAAACGGTAGGAATGTCAAAATGTAATATTTCGACGCAGAAGAAGAACGAAAGTGGCAAGAACAGAACACATATACGTTGCAATTTTAAGAATAATAAATTGATTTCGATTGTTGAACTGCTACGCTATTCACAACAGTATTAGATATAATCGTTTTCTTTGATTTGTTGTTCTTACTTTTCAGCTAATATTTTTATACCCGCTTCGACAAATTTTTGTCATTTTAAATGGAAAAGAATCACTATTGTACAATTTTTGATACAGTACAAATCCTCCCAAGTAAATTGTTATATACGTACATTAATTTTTCGCGAAGTCAACGTTTTTAAAATAATTTCAAAATGGCGTCTGCGTGACAAAACAAAATAAAAGACTCCCGTTTTTAACTTTTTCTCTGAGCCTATAATGAAAATTTAAAAACTGTATTTTGTAGATCCCGGTAAGTTATATGCATGCTGAAAATTTAATTGAAATCGGTTAACGCAAAGCGATTTTTGCGATCTTTAATTGTTAACAGCTCATACAAAGGTCAACCGATCTCGGAGAAATTTTTAACATGCATATAACTTACTGAGATCTACAAAACACATTTTTTAAATTTTCGTTATAGGTTCAGATAAAAAACTTTTATTTTCTTTTATCATTCTAAGCAATAGCAAAATTTAAAAAAAGCATTTTTTTATGGCCGCTCTATCATTTAAACAACAATTCAAGTCGTTTAGGAGACTGTTGGTAAGAGTATAAATCAACGAAAACTACTAGCATTTTTATATTTTAAATTCGCGTTGCTAACTGTAAGTAATAAACATTCCTATCGTTTGCAGATTCATGTAAATAAAATGTTCATGAATTACCTCCATCGTCATATAACCACCATACATCGATTGTTCCATTCTTGTGTTTCTTTTGGAAGATTGCCAAGTGTTCAGGTACAGTTACCATTGCGTGTCGCTTTTCTCTAAATATTTGAAAGATATAAAATATTATAATGATTACTTAAATAAAATTTTTGTTTTTTAATTATATTAAAAGATTGTGGAAACGAATTTATAACTGTATTCTTCATTGTATATCGTTGGAAATATTTATAATTATATTGGTAGAGAAACAATTATGTAAAAGACAGTACGATTTTAACTTCACAGAAGACAAGTGCTCCTGAATTGTAGATATATTCTGTCATTGTATTACTATAAAACATGTAAATACTAGATACATCATGTTACAGTACTAGTGAACATCATGATACAGTTACATAATTTTGTAAAATTACCAAAAAATAATTAAAATTCTTCAGTAAATATATATATGT